GCATTATTAGATGTGAACTACTGATGGTTGAGGGGACCCATACTCTGCCAACATGTGAAGCAAATCCCACCTTTTTGTCCTGAAATGGATTAATAATGGCAGACTGAGTATATCCTACAAGAGAAAAAGGACCAATTGTAGGTACAGTACAATTATATAGACGCTAACTAAAATTGTGTTTTTATCCCCCAAATTTCCACTTGACATTTTTTTCTTCCATTCGCCAGTTTCCACCAAATGTTTGATGCTTTTTGTGAACCCACCAGGGCCTACCCGTGCCAACCCCTTACCCCAAATTGTACTCTCCTTCTACGGTCATTGCCTCCCATATGCATCTAGCAAAATTTTTGCCTATGCATTTTTAATTGAATAGATGATTTCTGCTGCTGTTCTGTTGATACAGGATTTCCACATCTCATCAGTTTGGATACAGAGGAGACAGATCCCACTGCATTTGGAGGACCCTTAGACTTCTCAAAATCACAGGATGGGATTCCTGCCTTGGCTTTGGGTTTTTCAGGTAAGTTCTCAACAATTCCTCGCAGAATTGGAGCTGTCCCAATATAACTTTTGGATAGAAAGTTAGAAAAAAAAGGGAGAAAAAGAAAAAGAAGAGTAGAGAGAGAGAGAGAGAGAAGAAGATAAAATAATGTTAATGAAATTAATATTTTTTCCACGCACATGTGATGAGTTTTAGCGAAAATGTGTCAATTTTCATTGGAGGGGAAAAGATAAGGTTAATAGTGTTCAGCTTTTAATTTTCTTAACTACCTAGTTGAATTTCTACATTTATTATTTAATACATTATTGGATGTGAACTGCTGATGGTTAAGCAGACCCATACTCTGTTTACATGTAAAGCAAATCCCACCTTTTTGTGTTGAAATGGATTAATATATGCTGACTGGGTATATTCTACAAGAGAAAAAGGACCAATTGCAGGTACAGTTCAATTAAATAGATGCTAAATAAAATTGTCTTTTTATCGCCCAAATTTCCACTTGACATTTTTTTCTTCCATCTGCCAGTTTCGAC